TATATATATACAGCATATAGGGAACAAAACCACTAAGCTGTCTTTCTTCTCTATTTAGTGTTTCTATATTATAGTAACCACAACATCGTGAGAGGTAAGTGATTCAGTAAACATTTTGAAAGCAGCTTATTTCTTATATGTACTAGTTTTTTCTGTGAGCTAACTAAATAATACATAATAACATTACGTAACTATAACATGATTGATATGTAATAAATCAATGTTTCATTATAATCCTGTTACATTGTAAATGTTAGTCCTGGTGTAACCACATTTTTTCCCCTTTTTGCTGCTCTGATTGGTAGTATTGTTGTTTTCCATTAAAGTTGTTCAAACCAGCTTAATTTTCAAGAGCCTGAAATATTGTGACACCTAAGCTAACACCTCAAGCCACTCGGGGGCAGCACTCGGTTTGCATATCTGCCTCTCATCAGCTATGCACAGGTAGTTTTTGTTTTACTCAAGCATAATCAAAGACTTTGTGATCTTGGAAATAATCACCCAGACATAAATCATCAGTTACAGCTCAGGAACTATTTATTCCATCCATGGGCATGATGTCGATTGTCCACACCACCGGTGTCAGGACATTTCCTGTTTTAATATCAAACTCATTTTTATTTATCTTCATATTCAAAAATGTGACTCCGTTGCTCCCAACTTTACAATCACACACTAAACTGTCTTCCTGCCATCTTCAGTGTTTTATTTTAAGTCATTTCAAGTGTGGAGTTAATTTTGCTCCAAAATAGACTGAAACCTATTAACTTTAGCAACCATCAATGTTGCGCTTCCCTTGGTTAACGTGGTCTCAATAAGCCAATAATGGCCTCTAAGATGCTCCCGCTTAGCAACAGACCGCACACACAGTCCAGAACACCAAAACGCAACTCAGGAATGTACAGTAAGTAGTACAGGAAGTACAGCACACTGAGGAAACATAAACCATACGTTCTCGCAAAGTGCGGCCGGGGTTTACCTTAGTCCTGCCCCTCCCTCTGAGTATGATAGAATATGCAAACAGTTTTAGAAAAAATAATTTAACAATTTATGTAACGATGTAGTCAAAACACATTCATATTACTATTATTATTTAAGTTTTAACTAAAACATCCTGGCAGTGTGAATCAATGAAAATTCTCAAGTAATAGTTCAATAAAAGTTCTGGCCTAAACTCAATATAGAGAGGGTAATAATGTATTTTTCAAATAATATGGTTTTGTCCACTTGATGAAAAAAACAAGCCTAAATAAAAACAAAGCCCTGTATAGTTAAAAAAATATATATAAATAAACTAAAAGTAGAATAAAACAAAAAAAGAACAAAGGAGTGAGTAAGATAAAGACAAGCTCAGACCCAGGAACAGAGGGATATCCTGCCCGGGCTTCACTCCCACTAGTTTTCCCCTTCTGAAGTTTAAGCCAGATTTCCAGGGCTGACGTCAGCACCTGCTTTCAGTCCTCAAACCCTTTGCCCCCCAACAGCAACAGCCAAAAGAGTGCAGAAATAGGAAAGCTAATGGACAGAGACGCAAACATTGGCGTCAAAATGAGAACAAACCCAAGGCGAGTCACGTCTAAAGCTTTTTACGCTAAAGCTTCAGCTGTGTTGTTGCTAAAAAAGGATTGGATGCAATCAGCAGTTGGCGCTCTCTGAAACACTGCCTTAGCCAGGACAGCTCAAAGGGACAATGACAGGTTTGAGAAAAAAAAAGAAAAAAAGAAAAAAACACAGTGAGAGGGATTTGGTTTTAAAGCTTTAAATATACTTACACTTGACGTCAGTGTCTAACATGATCGTGTGTCTTATCGCGTTAACACCGTGACTACTCAAATATCTACCTTGGCTTTTCTCACTGTTATTTGCAGAAGCCACAGACGTAATGCATTTTTTAAAAGCAACACGGTTGGCTAATAGTGGACATGTAAACTGAGCAGCGGGACTCACCATACTGAGCATCGTTGAAGGTCCCTGCTAAGGTCTTACACGAGGAGTTGTCCCCACCACAGACTCCACACTTGTCATTCCTCGCCTTGGAGTTCAGAACGTGATCGCAACCTGCTTGCTGCAAAGCCACATAAGCAGAAGATATAAATCGGGTACTTTAGAGATTTTTTTGTACAACACAGTGCACTTAAAAACAAGATTAGTTGGAATGTTTTAGTGAATGTTTAACCCTCAAATTTGTCACTTGAACTTTACACGCAACACAACTACAACTACAAACCCTTCACTTAAATAAAAGGACTTCATCTGATCCTGCAAATGTATTTGCCCACACATTACTGGAGAAATCGTTGCACTAAGACAACATGACAGTAAGTGAAGGTTTACTGTGCAGTGTTTGCACAGTCTTCAGCACAGGATGAATAAACATGAAGACGTACCCTGCAGAGGCCTTGAACGCAGATGTCATAAGTGTCTGGACCACACGGAGTGCCGTCAATGACCCGGTCCTTTAGTTGATAGTAAGCCATAGTACCGGCAACCCGGCAAAAGAGCTTACAGCGATCCTTCATTAGGACTGCACATAAAACAAAAAAAAAAAAAAAAAAAAAAAAAAAAAAAAGCTAATTAGATTAAATTAGGCAAATATTCTGAGAACTGGAGAGTATTGGCCCGTTCTGGCAGTTCACATTTGATGATAACTCTACATACACTTTTTCCCCCTAAACCTAAGTTAGTCTTTTGCCAAACATTTGTCCAGTGTTTGAATAAAAATCACTGTATGTCTGACAGCGCACTGACTCCAGGGCTTGGCGTGTTTGCTTATATAGCATCAATTAAATGAATGAATCACTTGCAGTAAATTTGCCAGATGGTAATCTTGTGGGCTGGCTATCTGTCTCAGAAGAAACAAAGCTACAGCTGTGTGAGGGTTAAAATCCGCCTGGGGTATGGGGTTGTTGGGGGGGGGTTGGCAGAGGTGGCGGGGTGTCGTGCAGCTTTTACGGTGCTGTTGTTTGTCAGCTAAAAGTCTGCTCACGTCATGAGCCCGATATATCGATCAGTCGAATCACAGGATTTGTTGCAGTCATTCAAAAATACGGTGAAACGCTTCTGCAAGTTATTCTTATACACTCACTGACAAAAAAATATAAAAAAATTAAGTTAAGCACTCACTTATCATCGTTTACCCATCATTGGTCTGCCTGTGTACCAAACTACATCTAAACAGAACCAATGCTTCAGGTTGTTTAACATTTTTCTCTGTGAGTGTATACTGTAAGTACTAGGTAAAATAAAATGTCTAAAATTATCCAAAGGCCAAATTGTGAAAAATGAACACACACACACACACACACACACACACACACACACACACACACACACACACACACACACACACACACACACACACACACACACACACACACACACACACACACACACACACACACACACACGTTGTTATTATTATGTTTTTACGCTATTTAAAAGCTTTGTCCACACATTTGCTGCTTCTTCATTGCTCAACAATGTTTGTTTTTTTTAGTTTAAGATTATAACAGTCCATTTTGGACTGATCGATTTAAACTTCTGCCACAAGCCTAATAGTGATTAGATATTAATAGTGACTGTTGTTTCTGCTGTCGCCTCACAGGGCCATCCTGTGTGGATTTTGCATGAGTTTGACGCATATATGGTTTTCTCTGAATACTACATTTTTATTCTCATAACTCAAGAACCTGCATATTAGATGAAGTGAATAAATCAAATTAGCCCTGTAGGTGTGAGTGTACATTTGTGTGTGCATGGTTGTGTTGACCCTAATGGACTGGCAACCTGTCTCCAGCCCGTTGACTGCTGGAGACAGGCACAGCTCCCCGTAACTTTGAACAGAATTAAGTGGGTGTAGTAAATGGAGAGATGCAAAATGTCTTTTTTAGATTTCGCAGGGAAGATTGTTACTTATGATAGTTCACAAATCCATGCAAAAAATATACACAGATATATGAAAATGTAAGAAGCTAGGAATATTGTATAAAACCTAAACATCAGAGAGACACAAAAAGGCAAATAAACAAATTATCAAACACGACACTGCCTATATTGTTACAACCAGACATCAAATCTAGATACTTCAGGGACTCACTGCCACTGTACTTGGGGACCCAGCGGACGGTAGGAGGTAGACCGTTGATATTGAAGTGCTTGCCGTCAAACTGAGAACACTGCTCTTCACGGAAATCCTTGCGCCCTCGTGGGCACGGCTCAGTGTTGCAAGAGCGGAACTTCATTCGACGTCCCACGCAGAACTTCCCGCCATTTCTGGGTCTAAAGTAAGAGAGTTACAAATGCCTGAAACATATGAGGGTTTTCTAAATACAAAACAACATTACATGTAAGAACGTGAAACTTTTTCTGACTTATTCCATGGTAATATTTCTTCAGTTCTTTTAACACTTTTTTAACTTAATGTTTGCATGCTTAAAGCTCTTTTATTTTCTTACTCGGGCTTGTTACAGTCTCTGGTGGTGCTCCTTGTTCCTCCACCACAGGACCTGGAGCAAATACTGTAGGGTCCCCATGGACCCCACTGTCCATGGACCGGCTGCGTGTCTAGCTCCTTGTTTACACACATCCCATGTTTGCAGTACTGCATGTAAAAAAAATGTTTTTCAGTGTATTGTTCAGGCATCCAATTTGAACAATTTCTTGTAATTTTCTACTTTACATACTATTTTTCCCCCACATTACACTACTTATTTTCAAGCTAACTAAACCTGAATTAAAAACATCAAAATTTAAATGAAAGTTAGTTTAAAAAAGTATACATTTTAGCTTATTTTAAACAAAAATATAT